GTGTTACTGGTGTAAAACTGAATTATGAAGTAGAAACAATTGGGTCTACCAAAGGGAGGTTCTTTCTTAAAGATTTTCTATTCGCTCCTTCCCCTGCTCCCAAATGTAGACAGAGTTGATCATCTTTCTTGCAAGGACAGGAGTAGGAGTGCCTTGTGAGATTCCTTCTAGCCCCATGATTGTTTTGCTGACCTAATTTGGCTCTGTGTAACAGCAGTCCACTGCTGATGGTGTGCTAGGTCAGTGAAACATTTTAAATTAAGGTATTGAACAGGGATTAAGTCTGAAATGAACTCTGTATGCATTTTAGTTTGCCTCTGCTTTTGCAGCAAGTTATGACACTCTTACATTAGCTTTTCTGTTGGCTGAGGATTTTTTCTGTGTTACTCTTCTCAGAAGGACATTTCAGAGTACGATGCGACTGTGTTGAAAACTTAGTCTCTTCTGACTCTGGATGGAGAGTGTTTTATGGAGCTATTGTTATTTACCATTTGTCTGTATTTTGGTCTGTCCACGTGTTTCGCAAGTATTTCTTTTTTTAAACTGCCTTTAGATGGACAAAGTAGGAGAATGTGCAGCTGAAATGGGATTTCTGGAGTGCTTTGAAGGCTCATTATTTAAAAATAAATTGAAGGGCATACTTCTGAGAGTCTCTCTTCATGTGTAATTCAGTGAGAGTTCAGCCTGAGAAAAGGTTGAACCCTAAGTATTCATAACTTATCACAAAAACAAGAGTGGTGTGAAAGCAATGTGTGAAGCTGTGTTGTTAATTGCTTTCACATTTTAATATGTATTATTGATTTGCATTATTCAAGAAAAGTTAGGTTATACCGACCTTACCAGAGGATATTGGGAAAACCTGAAAGCAGAGAACGCAGGCTGCGTGTTTGAACGGAAGGAATGGAGAAGAAAAACTCTTGATGTTTCCTGAATGGGGTAGAATAGTAGAGCCTTTGCCACTCAAAGAGGATGGCATGAGGCTCGAAAACAAACTGAATGACAAATACCAATCTGTTTCTCTGGGTGATGTAATGGCCTTGATAAATAATGGAAATCCTGAATTGAACTGTATCTTAACTGCTGTTTGTTCTGATGGAACCATATCTTTTAAAAAAGATAAATAAATACGCTTGAGGTTTTAGGAAAATTCTTGTGCTTTTAGATAGTCATGTTTCAAGAAATGGACACCAAACTTGAAGAAAGGAGGAGACGTGCCAAAAGATTTAATAGGCAGATGGAATATGTTTACAGCAGAAAAATTAGTAGTGGCTTATTTGCTTTCACTGAAAATTGGATCCTCGCTATATGCCAAAATACTGAACTGATTGTTGGAAAATGTGCAAATAAGTCTTTGGTCGTGGTTGTAGGATCCTGTGTTTGTTCACGTTACGATACTTTAGTTAAATTTTCACTAGTGGTACAAAATTTGCACTAAAAACCATTTGACTATGAAAGCAGTTCTGATTTTTATGTACTATATGTTTCCCTTCAGCCAAAGGAATAAGCAGAAATTTTAAGAAACTTGGATTTGGTTATAGTTTTGTACTATTTTTGGAATTCCTAATAAAGTAAATGTGGGAGAGGGCTGATCTGTGTTAGAAGCGCCGGTTCCAGGGACAGATTTAATTAATCTTTTGACTTGTTGCTTCTAGGTGAAGGAGAATCTGCTATCGTGCAAGATGCTGCTGCATTGCAAGCGGGATGAGTTGCGCAAGCTGTGGATTGAAGGGATTGAGCACAAACATGTCCTGAATTTGCTGGACGAGATAGAGAACATCAAGCAAGTGCCTCAGAAGCTGGAACAGTGCATGGCCAGCAAACACTACCTCAACGCAACAGACATGCTGGTAAGATGTGGTACCTCGTGCTGGGCCAGTACCCACCAGAAACACGCTGGTCAGCTGTCTGATCATCTGCAGGCAGTTCTGCCGTCTCTGTTAGTATTTCCTTTTTTTTCCCTGCTTAGTTTCTTCTTTTGTCATTTGCTGCTTTCTTGTGTTGGAATTTCCATTTGGTTTTGTTTTGATCCTTCCCTGACTAGACTTAGGGTCACAGTCTCCCATCCTGTTTGGTTAGCTCTTGTCTTTCAGAGCTGTCTTTACCTGTGTACTTTTCCTGATCCTGACGCTTTCTATAACCTTTCATCTATAGGATTTCCTTCTACTTTTGCAACCTGGTGCTTTATTTTAAAAGGAATTTCCCTAACACCTGCCTGTATCATCTTCATTCTTTATATGTTATCAATTATTTCAAAACCATTTTTGTTATGGAAGAACTATCCTGTTTCTCTCATATTTCGTCTCCCAGAATGCACTCACAACTTTTGTTATTATTCAGACAGGAGACTGTCTTTGACCGTTCAGGTGTGTCTGCCTCTCATTGTCTTCTTCTAAATCCTTTACCAGGACTCTTGATCATTTCTACTTATTTCCAGCTCTTTTTTGATATTATTTTCCTCTCTCCCTTCAAGTGTTTTTCCTCTTCAGTTCCATATTTTCTTCTTCAGTTCCATTTTATAAGCATACCTTTCAATTCCAGTCTTGTGGTAGAGGTAGAAGTTTCCCACACTTCTCTAATAACAATCTTTTTTCTTTTCCTTTTGTTTCTCAACATAACAAGCACGTCTCCTCACCAGGCTCCAGTCCTTTCTTTCCTGGAACTGTCTTCTACCAATAATTAAAAAGCTTTACAAGAAAGGTGATTCTTCCCCTCTACTCAGTCCTGACACGTGGAGTGCTGAGTCCAGTTCTGGGCTCTCCAGGACAAGAAAGAGATGGAGTTCCTAGATTGAGTCCAGTGAAGGATCAGGAAGACGTTAGGGGACAGCAGCATCTTGCATATGTAAAGAGAGGCTGAGGGAGCTGAGACTGCTTCACTGGGAGAAGAGAAACCTCAGGGAGATCTTATCAATGGCTATAAATGTCTGATGGGAGGGTGCAAAGAAAACAGAGCTGGACTTTTCTCGGTGGTGCCCAGTGCAGGAGAAGAGGCAATGGGCACAGATTGAAACAAAGGAAAAAATGTTTGGTGTAAGAAAACATCTTTTACTGTAAATATGATTGAACACTGGAGCAGGTTGCCCAGAGAGGTTGGGGAGTCTCCTCTATGGAAAATTTTCAAAACCAGGCTGGATGTGGTCCTGGGCAACTGGCCTGTAGGTGACCATGTTTGAGCAGGAGGGTGGATTAGATGTTCTCTAGAGGTTCTTCCCAACCTTAAGCAGTCTGTGATTCAAAAGTGAAGGCGAGAGAAGTATGTCTGATCATATTACTCTTTGTGTTTGCCAGAGAATGCCTTTAAAGAAATCTTTTAATTGCCTTCTTTTGTTTTTGTTTTTGTTTTTTTCGACTTTACTGTGTCCTTTGTATTTCTCTTAGCTGTGCCTCTTCACTTCTTTTTAATAAATCATTATTCAACAGGATAAGGAGCTGGAAATCTTGGTGTTGTCACCTGATACTTGTAGAGCCCATGCTTGAACTTTAATTTCCTTCTTTCCATTTTATCTCAGTCTACCTTTAATATGACTTTCTAAAACTCACCTTGTTCCCTCTGAAACACATTCAGCAGTTTCATGTCAGCCTCCTCGTCCCTTTCTTTGATGGCATGTGTAACCCATTCTGGATTTTTGTTGTCGCTGTCGTGTCCTCTTGTCGGATTTCACTTTGCCATCACCTTCCTGTTCTTTTCTGCTGTTCATGTTCTCTTTTCATGCCACACCGGATGCAATCATCTTTCTATAATCTACAATTTTCCCTTTCTTCCTTTTTAAAACTATCTTCCAGGAACCCTCACAATGGTATTCTCTTTAGAATTTCACTATGGGAGACAATATGAACTGTTGTCTTATATCTTTCCCACCGTACTGTAAACAATCTGGGATGGCTAATGTATCCATTTCTCTTGTGTAATGCAGAGTGGAATTTTTGTGGTAATTTATAAAATGTTATGTAAAATCTATTAGAATTCCTGAAAACAGATCTGCAATGCAATGACTTGAGGCAGCATATGTGAGAAGAGCACAGTCAGGTTTTGCCAAAACTTTTGTCAGGTTTTTGATGTAGGAAATTGGAGTGTCGTATTAGTCTGATATTTTCAATTATGAGAGATGAAGAAGTAGATGTAAATTAAGGGCGTTCAGTGTAGGGGGAAAAACACGGTATTCAGAGTTAACATCACTATAAGTTGAAACGTTAACCAGTTGGTGCTTGCTTTTACTGATGGACTTTCCAGTTTGCTTGTCTTTTGGTGTCATTTTTGTTTGTTTGTGGTTTTTTGGTTTTTTTTGTTTTTTTTAACTGTAATTCTTTTCAGAAGGAAATTCCAGAAAAGTAAGTAATTTCCTATCTGAAATATAAGATGGGAGGTGTAAGAAGAAAAATAACAATACTTAAGATTTATCATATAATATGCTTTAGAAATGGTTTGCAATATATGTATTTGTGATGTCTTATTGGTTTGCAATATATTGCGTGTGGAGTTTTTTTATATGTACACTTATATACATATACACATGTGTGTGTGCGTGTAGGTATGGTTGCCCAAGACTATAAGTTAGAGCCAATATTAGCCCTCGTTGCAGTACAGACTTCTGTGGTATACCGTACTTGGTTTTGCTGTTTGTTTTCCAGAATAAGCTTATCTTCTCTAAGAAATCAAATGGTAATGATATAAAAAGCAGCTCTTGGATTATTTATTTTTTTTTATATATCAATGAATGCGGAGAAACCTCAAGTGAGAATTGAATGCGCTATTTCAGCCGTTCATTGACACTTGCAATTCTCATTCGAAGAGCAGTGTACCTGTAGGGAAGAAATAGTAACCTACCTGCATCTGGAGCTTTTTCATAGACAAAAATTGCTGTAGGCTCACTGGCTTTTGCCATCTTCTGTTAACACTGCTTCTGCAGGACTGTGATGTTGTAATCACTCACTCGCTGCAGGATAATTCCTTTTGCCTTTTATAGGATATGAACACTATGTAAAATAATTACTGAACTGTCAGGGATGCAGCGTATGTATGGATCTCTCTGTCCTTTTGTTTCATTCCTCAAGGTAAACAGATGCTCATGGCTTATAAAAAGCCCGAAGCGATCTGACAAGGAGTTTATATCCCTCACATTGAAATTGGAGCTCTGATTAATATTGTTGCCTGTAGCCTTGTGATATGTACAGTTGAAATTAGACCTTTGCAGTCCTTGTGTTAGGTTGATGCAAGCACTCTAATGGCATAATTTCTGGTTGCTGCATCACATTTCTGCAGTCTGTTCTTTGTATTCCACTCACATTAATTGAAGTAATTTTGCCACTGAAGCGTGTTTCAAACCTCTGCATTTAAATTGAAATTTTAATTCCCTTATTGTTTGGAAAAGACGGCTGAAGATGGCTTGTTACAGGTTTCATTATCACTCAAAACTCTCCAGCTGCTGGTTCTAATGTGCAATGACTGAGTAATGCTGGGAAGAATTGTTAATAAAAGAATGGCAGCTTTTCCCAGTAGTATAAGCATAATGCAAAGGTATTTTGTGACAGCTTACATTTGTATGAAGTTAAAAATTTTAAGTGGCAACTTCTTTGTTTCTGATTCTGTATCCATCCAGAGTAGCACAGATGAGCTTCAAATATCATGTATTCATGTTCTGTGGTCCTCCAGCATCTTGATAATATGCACTCCGGTGAGCAGAGCCAGTAGGATTACGTTTGCTGTTCTGTAATTGCACCTTATACAGCTTGTGTTAAAATCATGGAATCACAGAATGCCAGGTTGGAAGGGAGCTCAAGGATCACCTGGTCCATCCTTTCTTGGCAAAAGCACGGTCTAGACAAGATGGCCCAGCACCCTGCCCAGCTGAATCTTGAAAGCGTCCAATGTTGCAGAATCCACTGCTTCCCTGGGGAGGTTATTCCAATGGCTGATTGTTCGCAGTGTGAAAAATTTTCTCTTGTATCCAGTCAGAATATCCCCAGGAATAACTTGTACCCATGACCCCTTGTCTTTTCCATTGTGACTCCTTGTGAAAAGGGAGTCCTTGGACCTGTTGGAGCGGGGCCGGAGGAGGCCACGAAGATGCTGTGAGGGCTGGAGCCCCTCTGCTATGAGGAGAGGCTGAGAGAGTTGGGGCTGTTCAGCCTGGAGAAGAGAAGGCTCTGGGGAGATCTTATAGTGGCCTTCCAGTACCTAAAGGGGCTACAGGAGAGCTGGGGAGGGACTTTTTACTGGGGCATGTAGTGATAGGATGAAGGGGGATGGCTTCAAACTGGAAGAGGGGAGATTTAGATTAGATATTAGGAAGAAATTCTTGACACTGCGGGAAGTGAGCCCCTGGCGCAGGTTGCCCCGAGAAGCTGTGGCTGCCCCATCCCTGGAGGTGTTCAAGGCGAGGTTGGACGGGGCTTGGAGCAACCTGGGCTGGGGGGAGGGGTCCCTGCCCATGGCAGGGGGGTGGGACTGGATGATCTTGAAGGTCCCTTCTAACCTAAACCATTCTATTAGTCTCTATCTTCTTTGTAGCCAGCCTCCAAATACTGGAACTTGAATGAATTGTGGAGCTTTGGAGAAGTCAGGAGGGTCTGGAACAGATAGAACTCCCGTTTGAGATCGAATACATTTCAGTTATTTTCAATTTCTGTATATGCTTCTTTAAAGTATGAGTTTGTATGTTTTTCTGTAAATGATCTGGTTTTTCACATGCTAAATTGCTAAAAGTAACATTCATTTTGATGTGGCAGTTGAGTACACATGCATGCATGGGTGTGTATTTTCTCTTCTATGTAAAGCATAAAAAGGAGGCTGAGGGGAGACCTTATCGCTTTCTGCAGCTCCCTGAAAGGAGGGTGTAGTGAGGGGGGGT